CCAATTCAACGTTTTGTGTCTGCTGGAAACAATTATAATAAGAATAAACAGGTCCAGATCTTCTAATCACTTCTGTCCAGGAATAAGATTAGTGATTTATTCTAGTTGTTAATGATCATCTTGGTTTCTTTCTTTCTAAGCAAAAAAAATATGTGTTTTGTTAAACACTGTTCAAAGACCACAAACTTACACAAAAAGCCAAGAATCTAACCATCCAACCTGAGGAAACTCATCACTAAAATGGTAAAACATTTAACAGTGTGGAGGTGATTACCTGAGGGTGGATGGAGTGTAGGCCTGATTTGGCTGCCGACCAATTGTCCATCATCCTCATCCTCACTAGACAAAATCACTCGCCTAGAAATGTATAATATACAAGCCCAATCAATGAGCTAAAGCATTTTTTTTTTTGTTAATTGTGTATCTGCTGTCCACCTACCATGTTTAGACAGCTTTGAGCCAAGTACACTTAACAAAACTTTACCTTCCTGTGTCATTGGGAAAAATAAAATGTTCATCATCCATTTAGAAGCAGTAGTTCAAAATCAATAGCCTCACCTCTTTTTGCGCTTCCCCCTTCCAGTCTTCACTGTAGAATCAGACTCGGTTGGTACATCAGTGTTTTGCTCATACTCCACTAATTTTCTGCGGGCAATTTCATACGTAGCTTTGGAGACAGACAAATGAGTGGCAATTAGTTTAATTCAGAGCTAATTTCAACCGAACCAACAGTGAACTCAACATGTCAAATAATCTCATACAAATAGACACATTACCAACTTTTCTCTTGACAGTCAACTTGTATGTCGCCCAGTCAGTGTGAGGGTCCTGTTGCTCCATGACCGCCTTTGCCATGTTCATCCTTGTTGGTGGCCAGTAGCATTCATCCTCCTCAGGCCCGACAAACCATTGGTTGGTATAACTGCCAATCCCCCACCATTTATAAATTCAACTATCCCGAAAGGTAACATGCTTAAAGAAAAACAAATACATACAAAAAATTTAAACAAATGAAACAAATAATTAGCACTTTAGTGCAGGAGTGGAAGTGCCACGTATCCAGTCTTGTGTGGTAATAACACCATTTTTGTTTTTAACTCCTCCACAGGTAACAGCTGCAAGTCTTCAGATAAATTACAAACAAAAAGAATTCCAAGACGCGATGAGTCCATTGGATAGGTGAAAAAGGATTTGGCAGTTTCAAAGAAATTACACAGGACTTTAACAGTTCCAGAATGTGACAAAATGTTCCGCACAATAAGAATCCTTCTCCCTACAGAAAAACAGTCATCGCCACGAGAGGAGGAGATCAGTGTCTGTCCATCATTGTAACGCCTGTATTGTTCCCATGTTGCAACTGAATTAATCATTGGTCCAGAAAAGTGGAGCTGTTTGAGTGGGCTGAAAACTGATGTGGTCTTTTGGCTTGCCACTTTCTGCTTCTCATGGATTCGCCTGACGAGTTGTTGGACAGGGTTTTGAGGCCGACGGACAAGTTTTTTCAGTTTACCTAAAAATGTCTCAAAGGGAAAAGCTGAAACACTATCCAACGGGCCGAATTTACGTGCATCTTGAGCTAGGTGGATCAAGGAATGTATGTTATAGCTGACAAATTCATTGCCATAAATTGCAGCAAAGTCTGTTACAAAGAGTTTCAAAATCTCCTCAGCATAGTCACAATTGTCAGAAGAAGAACATAAGGCAGGACTCAGGAGAATTCTCATAGATACCGATAGAAGTAAAAAGTTTCTGTACATTATAGTGGGTATATTATTGAGGAGAACAACAGGACCAGTGTAAAGTAAAAATTGACGCAGCTCTGTAGCTTTCCATGTGCTGAATTCGAACAAGGATCGTGGTTTCCTTGCAAAATTGCTAGGTAAATATTGCCTGATAGAAACCATAAATGCTGACATTACAACAAAAAACTTCATAGATTGCCTGCATTTTAGTGGCCCCTTTAGCCAAAGAAATATTAACTTGCGCATTGCCCCCAAACACACAAGGTGCATATAATCTAACACAAAACTGGTCACTAGACCTATACCCAACTCATTTAGTGGGGAGGTTGACAGTTGGTGGTGCTGATAGCCTTGCCTCCCAAATTGCTCATCTGTCCTAAGCTCTGCTGATGTTACAGGATAGGCCACCTTCCCATTAATGTACTGGCCTTTTTGAGTGCACCTCTCACACCCATAATAGCCTGTATGGCCTTTGGAACATTTAAGAAAAGCACGAGCAGGTGCATCACAAATAAAAGCATCGGGTAATGGTACCCTGAAATGTACACCATTGTACACAATTCCACTCTGAGAAACAGCTTTCATATCTACAATGAATTCTTGTAAATACTCTTGCACATTTGCGGGTTTAGATGCACCCGAATACACTCCAATTACGAAGACACTACACTCGGGAATTTCCTTAATCATACCCAGAATCGGCCACAGACTCATACTGGAGCTACGGAATAAGGGCAATCCATCGATATTAATTCGGAGTGTGAGAGTATCAGTCACATTTGCTAAATGTCCTAAAGATGTTAGTTCAGCTTTGAGAGAATTTTCGACTCCAAAGTGGTAGTAGGACCCCCCAGACATATTTGCAACACTGCAAGATCTGTCAGTTGACATAAGAGTTCTGCCATCCATTGGGATATCAAGGCCCTTCCTCCGTAGGATTTTAAGAAGTGCAGACAGCGCTGTTTGTGGAATGTTAAATTCTGCAGCCCACTCTGCAAGCCCAAGCGAATCATTATTATTGTCTTCTTCTATGTCAGAACATTCATCTCCATGCAAATCACTGTCACTATCACAACCAGGCATATCACCTGGCATCCAGTTTTCAGAATCCAAATCATCGAATGAGGAAAGGTTAAAATCATAAAAAGAATCTGAGAAAAAATCTTCCTCTAAATCGCTTGACTCAAAACAGTTCTGATCACAAGCATCGTAGAAAGTGTCTGTAGAATCTTCACTTTCAGTATGCTCTAACAAATCATCCAGTGGGCATTCAGATTCATGTGCCACCAAATCATCAATCATAGACTCATTTTCAAGGAGACGTAAATGTTCCTCCACTTTTGCTGATATTTTCCTCCTTTTAGTTCTCTCTGAATACTCCATTATTTCTCTAAAAAAAGGAGAAAAAAAAGAAATAAAAAGCATTTTAGTTTTTAGTTATGAATACAGGGGTTCGGAAATGACAAACTATAGAGTGCAATTGCAAATCATATAGTTTGTTAAAGCTGGTATTAATGTGGCTGATTTCACCAACAGTTCTTCTAGTAGCAGTACAGTACAGTGGGCTACACCAGAGCCATGGAGAAAGAGAGTTACAACACTCCCATAGACCGACACAGGAACTTAGGAATGAGGAAGTAACGCGTGTCGTGGAGCCGCCAATAGTTCCGATTCTGGATCGATTCTGAGAATTTCAGAATCGATTCTGAGCCTAGTTTTTAACCAGATGTGCGATGATGCTGAGTTTGCTTTAGAAACACCCCGTATTCTGCTTGCTTCCAATTCCTCACATAGGCTACTGTAGGCCTACATACACCACTCGAACCTTACGTAAAATAATCTTTCATAAAGTTTGGAAAGATTGAAGCGAATTACGAGGACATTCACAGACTTCATTGCACGTGCTTTGAGAGACGCGCACTTTGTTTGATGTTACACTTGAAGTGTGCCGTCTCGCCTGTCGGTATATTTTTCTTACGAATGCTCTACGGAGTCATCATTTATGTGGTTTGGAATGCAGTGGACTTATATATTTAAAATATCAACCTCACTAACGGAAGACTGCTTTCAATTTCAAATCCTCACGCACGCTTTGTTTGTGTAGATTGCTCGCGCATGTAGCTGTGTGTCTCCGTGGTTTAATGTACTTGTGCAAAATTAACGGAAACACAGCCAGACAGGACAAACCCCATTACTTCTTATATTTCAAAAGAGATGCATGCGTGCAGCTTAATAGATCTCCCGCAGTCTATGTTGTCAAAGTAAAAAAATAACAGGCTAAAGATGAAGAAAATTCCCTCACAGTTCTTGAATAGAAAACGTTCAGATAATCTATAGGCTCGTGAAAGCACTTTTTGTTTGTTGCTTGTTATAGTTTCTATGCTCCTCTTTATTATTTGCTACTTGCTTGTATGTTTTGAAGTTAAATTAGTTTAAATTCTTAACATACAACTGTTCTAATTATTTTGTATAAAATGTGTAATTATAAAAAAAGTAGGCCTACTTAATTATATAAACTAATGAATTAATGGGGTGGTATATAAAGAATCGTTCTGGAATCTGACCGTGACTTCCAGAATTGGAATCGGATCGTGAGGTGACCAAAGATTCCCACCCCTAGAAATTACTGTATTTTTTTTTTTTTTTTACTCTTACATATTAGCCGACCTTTCGTGAATCTAGTCTGTAGTTAAATGTTATGTCGCTAGGTTTACTAAATGTTTATTGGAAGATAATAGTTTAATTGCAGCGATAGCTTAGGTGACCAACACTTCACTAACGTTACCTGATGTAAATAATATATAATATTATTTAATATTTTATATATGCGTGTCTGTATATTTTTATACATATATAGAATACACACACATATATTTATATATGAAGCATTTAGATGCAAAAGCCTAAGTGCCATTTGAAATATTCTTCAAGAATGATCATTTTAAACAAGCTTGTATATTTAAGTTTTGTTGATAGTTTTCAGGGAGCTGTGAAAAGATCCATTCATTTAAGTGGCATGACACTTGATAACTGCTCACATTCAGCGCCGTTAATATATCGAAAAACAATACACACATTGAAATGATGTCTGATTGTAGGCTATGAGTGAAATCTAATAGTGGCTTTTATTAAAAAAATCATATATATGGAATTATATTTTCATAAGGGGACCCCAGACAGTTAAATATAATCATGATTAAAAAAAAAAATGTAACATCACTCACTTATTTCATGCAATCTCCTGGATTAATTAGTGATTAAAAAAAGCATGATGTTACACAATATTTTACTGTCTGGGGTCCCCTAATGAAAAGAAAATATAATTCCCTATAGGGCCTATGTGAATTATCATAAATGGTTTAACAGTATATTTGAAAACATACAGAATTATATGGTGTTAATACAATATATTTCATATTACACAAGCAATTTTCATATATTTAAAAATCTGAGACAATATATTTAGGTATGTAATTTTATATTCAGTATTTACACTTCATATACAGGGATTCAAGTCATCCGTCGCTATGGGAGTACGACGGATTTCCCTCAATTTCAGGGTCCCCCTGTCCTTATGTCTTAAATGACCCTTTTCATTATTTTAAGGCCGTAAATATGCTTACATTTTTCAAATAGTGTAATAAATGTCTCAATTTCAGTTTGAATGGGTCGGGATGTTCATCCTGCTAAGCGAGATGTAATCAAAGCCTGGACTGGAGCTAAAGCACGTTCCTCTCTCCACTCTTACAGTTCTGTTGTCACTCCGCTCCCGATCTACTCCTGGTTTTCAATTCCCACTCACGATAAAAACTGCTTCGTGTTCACACAACTTTAAAAGTTATTCTAATATGTTTATTATTTTAGATCACGAACGTCAGAATTTAAAAGAATATATGTGACGGATTTGAAAGTATTCTACACGTTTAATAAATGTTCCAGCCCTTGCTTCCACATACGAGTAAACAACAGGCCTGGCAAAGCGCACCCATGGTAAAAGGAAATAAAGTTACAGAAAACATCTTCTACAAACAATTTTAATTTGCCAATACTTATTAATAATAAATAAAAGTGCCTAACGTGAAAATCGGATAATAATCAAGTGCAATATAAACATGTTTTGTCAAAGCATTGGTCCCGAACCGGACATCAACACTACACTA